AGATGGTACCAATTTAAAATTTGACTTTATTCCCTCGCTCGCTGGGGAGATACAAAGATAACCTAGCAGCAATAGTTTTGAAAGTGATAGAACATCTCATGGAAAGTTGGCTTTGGAAATGGTTATCCAGACAGGTGGGATACTATTTTGTTCTTTGAATTATCTAGATGAGTAAATGAGCTAGTATTTTATGGCCTAACAATGATCAAGCACTGTTCTAAGGCACAGAAATCCCTAAATGCCTCTAGGCAGACCTTGTCCTCAGGAGCAGGAGAGCAGGATGCAGGGGTAAATGACTACTCCGTCAAAGGAGAATGTGGTAATGCCTGGGAATTACCACTGGAGCTCAGAGGAAGGGAATTCTCTTTCAAAAGGGAATAAGGGAATGAATGCATCAAGGATGTAGCGGCGTTGGGAGGGAATTAAAAAAGGAAGTGCTTTTCCTTGACAAGCTAGGAAAGTGGGGTTCTGGACAGCAAAAAAACTTTGGAGTTCCTGGAATATTGAGTTTTCATTTGGTCAGAGCAGAGGCTCCACAGTGGAAGTGCTAGACTAGAAAGGATAGTGGGATAGAGGGAGACTTGAATTCCTAGGGAAGCTGGATGTGGGTTAAAGATGGATCTAGGTTATGACCAATAGAGGCTGAAGCCTTGAAAAGCCAAGAAAATAAATTGGCAGCAGGGTCTGGGAGGAAGCCAGGGAGAGAAGAGGCAGAGAGGGCCTTAGGAGGCTAGTAGGGCAGGCAAGGTCATGAGGCCCTGAGAGGCGTGATAGAAATGCAGTGGAAAGGGACTGAGAAGCCGGGATGCCCAGGAACTCTTGATCAGGTATGGATGGCAGTGGAAGTCAGACCCCAAAGAAGATGGTGAGATTTTAATCTTGGTGATTGGAGAGATAATAAAGCTCAGGGCAAGAGAGAGAAGGAGGACCTATAGTTGAACAAGCCAGCAGGTCCTAGTAGGTAGCTAGAGAAGTGGATCTGGAGACACGTGGGTGATAGAGCTGGAGGAACAGGCCTCACCTTCCTTCACCTGGAGCACCGGTGAGTCCCAGCCAGTGGGACTGTGGTGCCCAGCATGAGAATGAAGAGCGAGGATGAGAGGGCTGTGCCCCAGACAGAGCTGTTTCCAGCAGCGCCAGAGGAAAATCGGCATCCTGTACCATGGTTTCCCGCCATTACCAAGCCTGGGGTGTAAAGCTGGTCAAAAAAGGTTTGAAAGCAATTACTGGAAAGAAAGTGGTCTAGAAAACTGTCTTATGGACATCTCGGCTTGTAAGTGCAAGTCTCTGGCATTCAGGGAAGGAATGTCAGGCCACAAGGAGAATGGTGAGCTTTTTATCTAGAATTTTAATTTCTCACAATCAACATCTCTGAGGAGATAGGTTTTTTATCCTTGCTATGTTGAAAGTGAATATTTTCAGATTTCTTGTCCTTTCTCTCTCCTTATTTCTTCTTTTCCTTTTTTCTTCCTTTCCCCATCCTTACTTCTCCTCTCTTTGCCTTCTTCCTTGAAAACTCTTGTTTTATTTTGCCCTGGTTTAGTGCACCGGTGTCCTTTGCTGACCTACAGGAGGAGCTACTGTCACCAGGATTCACCACTGTCACCAAAAAAAGATAACAATTTTGTTCCTCCCTCCCTCCTTTCCTCCTTTCATCCCTTCCTCCCTCCCTTCCTTCCTTCCTTCTTTCCTTTCCTTCTTTCCTTCCTTCCTTTGACCTTTCCTTTTCTTTCTTTATGCAGGGCTGGGGTTGGAACCCAGGGCCTTGTACATGCTAAGCAAATATTCTATGACTAAGTCATAACCTGGTCATCAATATTTATTTCTAGTCAATATTTATTATCATTGCCAATTGTGGTGGGAGCTCTTGTATGTTCTGATGCTACATTATCTTGGGTCTTTCAAAGCACAAAAAAGTGTATATTTGCATTATGACACCATTAACACTTTTTCAAACTTTCTACTTCTTTCTTCTACTGGTTTCAAAATCACCCATAAATCTCTTGGTAACTGCATAGGGTGCTAAAGCCAGAGACAGGACACTCCTGGCATTGTGATTAGAGTCATTTAATACTCAAGGTGGTGACTAATGTCTGGCAACAAAGGCTGCACTAGGCATCTTGTGTCCTGGGACCTTAGGAGACACGAAGAGTACTTTATCACTGTGTGGTCAAAGGAGAAGTTGAGGCCCAGGTGTGGATCTACTTGGGTGCCATCAAATTTGAGAAGCCTCTCCCTATAACCAATTTAAGGTAAAGGTAACCATCTCTGTCTTATCTTTATACACTAAGATTTAAATGATATATATTTCCACATGTTCACGGAAAGCAGTCAATGAGCTATTGGCGGAAAGGTCTGTGGGTTTGGTTAAGGAGGTGGAGGAGTATCACATTTCCACTGGAAACACATCCCTGGAATGCCAAAACATTTGTTCCAAAGTCTGATTTCCTTGTGCCACTAGAGGCATGGCAGTTGTGCGTCTGTTCCATCTGGGGGGTCAGGCCCTGCAAGACATTGGATCCTAGTGCATCTCAGAAGGCTTTTCTTGTGAAATTGTATTCTTTGGGAAAAACTACGCAGCACATTTTGTAAACTTGCTCTCCGTACACTCTTGACTGCTATTCTATTTTTGCTGCTTCCCCCTCTGCCTAGGATGGGGACAGAAAGCACAGGGCACTCTTCCAGCTGGCTCAACAGGTAGGGAGCACAGGCAGCTGGAGCATCTTCTCCCCAGTCGTGCTTACTCTAAGCGCCACACGGCAAGTCGCTCCTCTCTCCCCACTGCCATTCATCCAGCTCCCTGCAGCAGCAGCCCAGCTGCCGCGTCTGCCGGGAGGGGCTGCCAAGTGCCCTGCCTACTGGCTGCTTCCCGAGTCCTGCCATTCCACACACAAACATCCACACACGCTCTGCCTGGATCACACACCGAGCCACTCGAACATGCGAACGCATTCCTTCCTCCCGTCTCACTGTCTCGGACTTTGACTTCTACAAGCCCATGGAACATTTCTGGAACACGCTCTCGATCCAGCAGGGTAGGATTGTTTTGATTTCTCTCTTTGTAGCTTGAGCATTTTGAGAAAGCAACTCTCACCTTCCTGGCCAGTGTCTGTATTCTAGCGGGGAGATGAGGATGTGCTGTTTGCCACGGGGGGAGTGTGTGCGTTTCCTGTATCCTTTTTCTTTTAGGACTTGTAGGATTCTTTATATCATTTACATATAATTGGGCAGGCTCAGATTTTAAAGGAGCCCTGTGAAGTGTTTTTGCATGTGTTTTAAAAAGGCATTTGAAAATTGAAAGTGTGGTTTACAGTAACTAAATCATCTGTAAAAATATTGTTCTGGAAAGTAATGGTTGCTGGCCATAAAGAGGGACATCTGCGACTCACCTAATGTGTTTTTAACCCTTTCTTTGCCTCTAATCTATAGTTACCGATGTTAAACTCAATTTTGTCTTTATAGTAAATCAGGTTATCTGCATATCATCCAGAAATGATCTGTTTTTTAAGACTTAGACAACACATGTACTTATCAGTAAGTATTTTAAAATATTCGTGTTAGTAGCTGCAACCTTGGCATTTATGTATGCCATGAACATTTGGTGAGGTAGCCTTTTGGGCGTTTGGGATAGCAGTTAAAGTATTAGTGGCTGCAGCAGAGGTTTTTAGGCTGGAGCAAAGGAAGTTTATTAAAAATGATAAACTGTAAAATTTGGGTTATGATACATTTAACAGCCCTTTTGTCTCATTAATTAAAATCACTATTGGCTTTTAATTAAATTGTTTGAGTTCAAAACTTTTTTCCATTTCTTTTTCACTTGGATATTTGATGCTGCGTATCCTGCCTCAAGTGCACCTAGAAGGTCCACTTGTAGAACTAAAGAACTGGACTACAGAAATGCATTTGAAAATTTCCTGGTTAGGCAACGTGACATAATTTCCCAAGTTTTGGTTAAAGACCTGAGATTATGCATAAAAAAATTCATGTCATCTTCACTTTTCTAAAGGTTTCCTTGCATAACCTGTGGAAGGCATGAACACCCATGTGCGCCTAACCAAAGGTTTTTCTGAATCATCATTCACATGAGAATTTCTAAAGGAGCAAGTACAGAGCTGTAGTCCAACATAAACAGAGAAGTCAGGCTGGGAGAATCTCAGAAGGCTGTGGCTGGAGGGGACCACGTTGGCAGCCTTTTACAGATGAGGAAATCAAAGTCCGGCAGCGTTCTCCTGGTTGCAAAATGCATCTCTTAGTATGTGGGCATCTCGCCTTGTCACCCTTTCCCCCCAGATGCCGCCTATCAGTTCCTGCGGCTGCTAAATATAGCTGTCTGTGGCTGGCCGCGTGTGCAACCGCACACCCCATTCTATCTGCCGTATCTCAGTTACAGACGAGTCCTCCCCAGGGTCATTCTATGTACACACTACACATTTTAGACAACAAGGGGAGTGAATCAAGCAGGAAGAGAGACAAAGAGAGATAGATTGAAGCCTGGCATGGGCACACGAGGCAGCACACTAGAAAGAGCCGGCTCCTGGCTTAGTCTTCCGCGTCTGTTTAAAAGCCAGTTTTCCCGGGGCCACCTTTAGGAGATCCTCGTGCGCCCCCGCCCCCCTGCAGTGAAATTCAGCTTCCATCCAAGCAGCGACAAGTTAAGTTCAGGGAAGCGGCTCTTTGGGACCGCTCCAAAATGAGGGGTGACAGGAGTGATGTCTGAACCAATGTCTGTGCAAAGCAGCAGTCCCTGGCCGGCTTCCAGCACCTTTGTGATGCATATGAGCAGAGGAGACCGGTACTTAAAGTTGGAGCCCCGGAGCTGGCGGAGCGCACCCGCGCCGGGGCGGCACTTGTTGGAGTCTGGCCACCGGGCTCCACCAGACAGACAGACAGACAGACAGACCGCTCGGGCCGGGGCAGGGCCAGGGCTAGAGCCGGAGCTCGCGTGGCGGTGGCGGGGGACTCGCGCGCCGCCTCTCACCGCGGCTGTGCTCTTTTTCCAGGTGGCCCGCGGGCTGCTGCGCCCTCCGCCGCGCGCCGGGACGGCCTGCGCCTCGCCGCCCGACGCTGACCATGACCATGACCCTCCACACCAAAGCCTCGGGCATGGCCCTGCTGCACCAGATCCAGGCGAGCGAGCTGGAGCCCCTCGGCCGCCCGCAGCTCAAGATGCCGCTGGAGGAGCCGCAGGGCGAGGTGTTCCTGGACGGCGGCGGCAAGCCCGCGGTCTTCAACTACCCCGAGGGCGCCGCCTACGAGTTCAACGCCGCGGCCGCCGCCTCCGCGCCGGTGTACGGCCAGCCCGGCCTGGCCTACGGCCCCGGGTCCGAGGCGGCCGCGGCGTTCGGCCCCGGCGGCCTGGGGGGCTTCCCGCAGCTCAGCAGCGTGTCCCCGAGCCCGCTGATGCTGCTGCACCCGCCGCCGCAGCTCTCGCCCTTCCTGCACCCGCACGGCCAGCAGGTGCCCTTTTACCTGGAGAACGAGCCGGGCGGCTACGCAGCGCGCGAGCCCGGCGCCCCCGCCTTCTACAGGTACCGCC